TGCCAAGGGCATCAGATCTCCTTGTGTAAAGCATCTTTTCAGCGCCTTCTCCCCACCTCCAAGCCCCCCAATAAAATGATTTGGTCTCAAAAAAAAAAAAAAAAAAAAAATCAAACTTGAAACACACCACCAAAAAAATAGACGTAATTTTATTTCTTCTCCTGCATGATCAAACTATTACAGGAAGTTACACTGGAGATGAATAATAAGCTCATTATTTTGGGCCTTTAATTCAGAGTTTTTCATCAAGGTGGAATTGATACTCATCTTTGTACAACTCATAGGGAAGATAAAAGACAAACAATAGATAATTACTGAGAGCAAGATTACATGAAACACATAATCTACTTTGATTCAACAAGTTTTATCAAGTTTCAACAGTCATGCACATTATCATGCTCCATTCATCACAGCCATAGCTAAACATTACTATGGTAAAACACAGTAATACCCTCTGCTCTCAGAGACTTTAACAATCTTATTACGTTGGGGTACAGGAACTGCACAAAAGAAAAAACATGCAAATAATTTTAAAACAACTATAGAAGGCCAAGGGTATGGTTCAGTGGCAGTGCTACCTACCATGTACGAAAAGTTCTGGCTTCAACCCCCAGTACCCCACTATCCTACCACCCCATTCCCTACCCACACACCCGAACACCCATACACACACAAAATTACAAAAAAAAAAACCCTAATAGCCTAGTACAAACTACATTGCTAAAGTAACTCAAAAGGAAAAAAAAGAAAACATCACTATAATATTAGTATTTAAGAGGCAATTTTTTTAACTAAGCCTAGAGAAGCTCAGTATTTTTAGAGGCCATTTACTTGTATCAAAATTCCAGGTATTTCCCATTGAATCTTGACTAGGATCTTTCATTATGATGGAAATCTCATCTTTTTTTCAAAGGACAAGATTAATAAATTTTAGCTGGGTATGTGGTGCACATCTCCAACCCTAGCACTAAGAGGCTGAGGCAGGAGGATTGCTGGGATTTCGAGGCCAGTTTTATGGTCTACATAGTGAATTTGAGAGCTACACAGCAAGACTGTATCTCAAAAAAAAAAAAGGAAAGATTAGTAAGTTTTAATCTCTTTAGATGCCATGGTTTAAATTTTTCCCAGTTACTGGGAGACTGAGGCAGGAAGATAATACGTTTGGTACCAACCTGGGCAATTTAGGAGCTTAGCGACATCTGTTTCAGTAACAAAAAAATTTAAATCTTAGATGGGTGCACTGTTTAACACCTGTAATTCCTGTAATCCAGCACTCTGGAAGCCTGAGGCAGGAAGATCACAAATTCAAGCCTAGCCCTAGTAACTGGATGATTAGAGACTCTGCCTGCCTCTCTCAAAATAAATTAAACCAAAGGGTTATGGGGATATAGCTCATTGCAAAGGCCCTGGGTTCAATTTCCAGTTCTGGAAAAAAAAATCTCTTCTAATTTGAGATTAGGGTATGGGGATACAGCTCAGTGGCACAAGTGTCTGCCTGGCAAGCACAAGGTCCTGAGCTCAATTCCTAGTACCCTAAAAAAAAAATAATAATAATTTGAGAATAAAGTCACAATCACACAACGTGTATCTGAGATACAAATTACTCAAAAATGCGCTGAGGACTTTACTATCTCATGAAAGACCTGCACCAAAAATAAGTGTCTCAAAATATAATCAATCTTAAAATTCTAGAAAAAAATAAAAGATGACACAAATACTGGAAAGCATGTTTGGAATATACAGGCAAAAGCCAACGTACTACCTGTTAAGGAAGTAAATACACAGTGAGTAAATTACAACGTTTCTTACCACCTTTGGTAATTAAAGTGAAATTCAAACACAAACAGGTCGGCACATTTCACAATTGTTGAAATGAACGGTATTGGAAAACAGGTAGTTTGGAAGTTTTATTACACAAAATGCAAGTGCAAAACCCCCATGAACTGTCCGTGAGTGAGCGTTTTCTCAGCCATCAAGTTCTCTGTAAACTGCTCTTTTTTCATCTAATTAACCTCTTCCAACCCAGGCCGCTGGGCTCAAGAGTAGCTGATTTACTAAATCGTATTTCTTTAATCTGAAATCCCATCTTGCAAGACTCAGAGATAATTTTTTTTTTTCATCTGGCCAGAAAATACCAACACACGGTCTTTAGTAAGAAAAAGTACTGAGAAATAAGGCTTTTCGTTCCACGAGCCCGGCCGCGACTATCCCGGGATGGCATGTGTCGTGCAGGGCGCTCTCCGTAACAGATTTCGCCATCGAACCACGCGTTTTTACAGGCACGAAGGTCCCCCCCGCCGCTGTCACTATTCATTTCCAAGCCTCCACGGCCGGGCGGGCGGCCTCGCTACCCCACACCCCACGCAGCCGCCGCCTCGCGAGGGCAACGAAAGCGAGCAGGTACGCGAGGCCGCGGCAGCGCGCCGGGAATCAAAGAGGGCGGCCGGCCCGGCCCCGCCGCCGCGGGCTCCCCGGCCTGCGCTAATTGACACCTGTGAGGGGGAAACTTTCCGGGGCGACGTCGCCGTCGAAGCGGTCCAGCTCGAAGCCCATGGTGGCGGCCGGGGCCCGGGGTCGCCGCCCGGGCGGCCGGCCGCCCCCTCCCTCCCCGTG